CACACACACACACACACACACACACACACACACACACACACACACACACACACACATGTACTCGAACATATAATGATAGTAAGCTTCCCACAAATCTTGACTCAAAGCTGTTGAAACATGGTAAAATACATATTCAGAGAACTGAGAAAATCCCAAAAAGGAAGTGCCAAAAAAGCCCAAACCACAGAACAGCACGCTCAGATTTCTAACATCAAAAACAAATTTTTATATAACATAGCACCCACAGGAAAAAATCAACCTGGTACAGTGATTCATTACCAAACGCTGATGGAAGAGAATCAACATCTCCATGTGCTAAATATATAGAGCTGTCCACTCACATTTTATATCAAGGAACTCAATGATAATATTCCCAGGTGAAAAAAATAAATAAGAGAATGAGTAATATTAGCATATACTCCAAAGAGCACCGATAAAAGAAAGGATCCAAATAGCAGGGAAGTAAAATTAGATCTAAGATGATAAAGAAATAAGAAACACATTTTTAAAATAAACGTTAGATTGATATATAGCAGTTTATTTATGTAAAATATATTAAACTATATTACAGTAAGTTTATATAATTTTAAACAGAAGAAAGAGGGTAGTTTTTAAAGTTAAAAACTTTGCACCAAATTTTGGTGTTTTGTTTTTTAAAATATCTAAATATGTTAGTGTGACAAATGTACTCAGTGATTAGTACTGTCTAATGGTCAATGGCACTAAAGAGCAAGTCTAGCTTTCGTGGTCACTGACTCAGTAGAATACCACACTATATTCTTTTGCAACACTGGCTCTTGCTATGTTACTTCTGTAGAAAGAAAATTCAATTCCCACACACACAATAAGGAAAAGCAGACCAATTAAAACTATGGGCAGAGTTTATACTTGTGCCGGGAGCATTACTTTCCTCTTTATGAGTTATGTGTCACTCTGCCTGTCTTGTATCTTCACTTAAGCTACACATTATGCTATTACCCTCTAAACTTTCTTTCCAAATATTAAATAATACCATAAATGAATAAAAATAAATAAATAAATATTTTCTCTTAAATATTCCAAATTATTTTCAAAAGTTAATGCAAAAACCAATCATTTAGGTTTTAATTACATGGAAAGAGAATAAAATAATTGACATAATTAAATTAAGAGGGTAGATATATTTTTAAAAAGGTAATATTTCAATTATAGTTTTATATTATAAAGACATTAAGCTATAAGAATTTAATTACATCCACTATGATACCTGAGAAACCACAGACAAAAGCTATGCCGACATGCCAAAATGAAATTCTAAAATTTACTCAATGTATATTATTTTATAAGGTAGAGCAAATATTAAAAACAACAGAATCAACATAAAGCAATAGCTATAAATAAATATTTAAGCTCTCACATACATTGCATGAAATGTAAAAGGCACAAGTATGCCAAATAACGTTTTGAGTTCTGATTAAAATTTATAATACAACTATTTGTTGTCAACAAAAATTCAGTGATACAGACAATTTAAATGGAAAACAATGGGGGAAAACTAGAAAATTCAAATTCTGAAAAGAGCTTATCTAGCAGTGATGGAACACACATATACATACACCTTGAACATCTGATATGTGACTTTGTTGTCTATATATTTCAAGGAAGCTGCACCCATCAATCTTCACAGTACAGTTGCCTAAGTAAAGCCTGAATCATAAAAACAAAAACAAACAAAACAAAACAAAACAAAACAAAAAAACTTAGTTGACATGCCAATGCAAATTATGGAAATCTCACTAGATGAAGAGCTACAGAAAATTAATGGCTGCTGAGAGAGACACAGAGAGAGAGAGAGGGGGGGGAGAGGGGGGGGGAGAGAGAGAGAGAGAGAGAGAGAGAGAGAGAGAGAGAGAGAGAGAG